TGATCTCCCTATATTGTCTCATCTTGTGCTGATGATGCACATTGGCTCTCGCTGTGGGTGTTGATTACTGCTGGTCACTGATTCTTTGGTTGATCGATTTCGTGTGTTAAAATCTTTCCAGCAGATGGTAGCTACAGAGCTTCTTCGAGATCGCAAAACTTTTTTTGTGTCCATGATTTGGTCTTCTCTGCCCGCCCTATAGCTACAATTTGTTGAATACATTGATAAACAGGGGCCCTCTCACATGAGCATGACAAGCAAAAAAATACAATACCCGTATGTTAGATGTACTAAGCGATTTATATATAATCACTACTAACCAAATTCAGATTCTGGTATGGCGGGCTATCCAGCATGGTAGCATGCTTAGTAACGCATCCATTAGACCTTGCGAAGGTACGATTACAAACCGCATCAGCCCCTGGACAGTCATTACTTTCCATGTTGTATCGTATCATAACCAAAGAGGGATTCTTCAAGATCTATTCTGGGTTGACTGCGTCACTTTTGAGACAAGCCACTTATTCAACAACTCGATTTGGGATCTATGAAGCACTCAAAGGGTATTACGTCAATAAAAGTCACAACCAACATCCCGGTACCGCAGTCTTGTTACCATTGTCCATGGCAGCTGGAGCAACGGGTGGACTTATAGGTAACCCTGCCGATGTTGTTAATATTAGGATGCAAAATGATGCAACCTTACCTATTGATCAAAGACGAAATTATAGAAATGCATTGGACGGTTTGTACAAAATATGCAAGAATGAGGGGATGGGCTCCCTATTTCGCGGTCTATCTCCTAACTTAGTTCGAGGCGTGTTGATGACAGCATCGCAAGTCGTTACCTATGATATTGCGAAAGTTTTTTTGATTGACCAAATACGTATGGATCCGTCAAAAAAGTCGACCCATTTTGGTGCATCCTTGATTGCAGGATTAGTTGCTACTACAGTTTGCTCTCCAGCAGATGTTGTGAAAACGAGGATTATGAATAGTAAGGGAAGTGGTCAGAACGCAATTAGCATTTTCAAAAATGCAGTTAGCCAAGAAGGAGTTGGGTTCATGTTCAGGGGGTGGCTTCCAGCTTTCATTAGGTTGGGCCCACATACAATTGTCACGTTCTTGGTATTGGAGCAGTTGAGAGGTTTGAGACTCGGCATGTGATGCTTTACAGCATGAACACCCACTGTTTGTACAACCAGGACGGATATACATACAATTATAGAGTTTTTATAGAAAGTTCAAGGACGCGAAATACAAAGATAAGGAATTACATTGAGTGTGGTGGTGTAATCACTTCTTGGAGCCGTCCGGTTCTGGGACTTTGTAGACAAGCATGTAAAGCTGGTCAAAAGATCCACTCACACACACACATTGCACACATCCAAGGACACGTAGTCTGACGACAAGTTCCTCAGCACTTGAACATTTCTAATTAGAATACTACACCATAGCACGGACATGGTTTCAATTTAAAGCTCCGTACATTCTTTCCGCCTATTTAACCCTAAGAACTTTTGACTTCGATGTTATCCAACTCGGCTTTTTCGAAAGCTTCCTTTTCAGCTTCCAAAATGTATGGGATCAAATAGTGATCGTCCTCTTCAGGCTTGAGAGCCTTTCCTGGTGGAAGAATTTGTTGAGTCAAAGACAATTGATGAGCGGTGAGAATCCTGAAATTCCTGGAATAACTTAATGAGGGAGGTAATCTCTTGATGGCTTTTTGCATAACAGGTGTTTCCTCCATAAGTAAATCATTGAATCTAATAAACAGGTTAGTATACTTTAAGAAGTAGTCATTTGTACAACATCACATACTTTAATCCCATCTCTCTGTAACCAGCATAAGCTGTGAATTTGTTAGCAAGTGGAGTAACAATTTTAGACAAGGTTGGTCGGGACAAAATGAAGTTGGCAGCCTTAACGACTGATGTCATGGACAGCATCGTTGGTGATTTCTTAAAGTTGTAGAATTCGATAAGTAGCAACGAACTCCTTCGCTTCGTTCGTTTACGGTGCCACTTTATTTGATTTTTTTTTTTTTTCTTTTCTCTCTCTCTCTCTCTTTCGTAGGGGTGTAATTTATTTTTAATCGCACGTAATTGGTTGTTTGTTGTACACTTCCTAATGCGGTAACTAATTGCAAAACAAAAAACCATTTCAGGAGGAACTTATACTAGCAAATGTATACTGCTTAGGAAATGTAGGCTTCATTGTGTTCTTTAAAATACCCTCTAATTTAATAACTATAGTCGTCTACACGTAGCTCTACTGCGTTTGGTAAACATACACTTTTCAAAACGTTCAATGCACCAATTTCCTTCACCATGTCGAACAACTCTTGATTCTTGCACAAGATGAGACCGTATACTCCGCAAGCATTGATGCCTAATTTATCTTCAAATTTGGAGTTTGACCTTGGTACCATAAGCATATACTTTGTGGTCATGACGAAATTGAAAGAAATGTGGTGCTGATCGTTCTCTTTGAGTACATTCATTGTGTGTTGAAGAAGAGAAGCAAAACTAACGGCTAAGCTCTCGTCGCCAATGTCATTTTCATTTAGTCTGATCAAGTAATGAGCGAAAGGAATGTTCTGGTCCTGCAGCGGATTTTGGGCATTCGCGGGTGATGTAGTGTTCTGGGAAAGAAGCTCAGCATAAGATTTGAAACCTTTGCGTGAAGGAGCCCTCATAAATTGTATATGCTTATGGGGTTGAGAAGCACCACTCTCTGGTCCACAGTTGTAAAAAGCGAACCAGTCCTCATCTAACGGGCTTTGCTTGGCTAGTTCGGTCAAGATTTTGTATGTAGCAGATAGCTCTTCCTCTGATAGTGGGGTATTTTGGTGTTTGAACTCTCGTGTGACCATCAAGAAGTGCTTCGATATCACTGGAAACTTATTGAAAACAAGCTTGAATTCAAGATTAGGTCCATACCCCTCAAGAATCGTAAGCTCTGGCTCCGGCTTTTCAAAAGGATTGGACTCTCTATCACCCTTTTCTGGTCTGTGCATCAAAGATGTCAACATTGTCAATTGCACATTTGCACTCTTGTCTCCAATCGCAAACAGCTCAATTTCGTTGACCGCCGCATCTCCATTATACAAAACGGCCCCAGTTTTGAGCGCCTCTTGGTACTTCTCGCTCAAGGAGGTGTAAAATGTAGCTGGTAATTCGTAAAGGGACATAATTATTAGTTGGCACTTCTTAAATGGAGTTTTGCAAAAAAAGAAAAAAAAAAGTTGATCAGTCGCGACTTATAACGAACTATTTGTGTCTTTTTTTTCCTCTTTTTTTGTTCGCTTCTCAATGTTGAGGGTCTGTTACAGAGAAAGAGATACATGACGGTGTCACTTCAATGGGATCGAGCGAAGACGACGAGGCACTTAAAATTTTGGCTTCAATTCGAATTAAAAAGCTGATTGATGATTTACAATTACAGTACCTTTCACAAGGAGGAGAAACTGGATACCTGGAGCGAGTCATACGCGATGTTTTGAGTATTGTTTTTGAACTTGACCGCAGAGCAGTGCCGGATACTGTAAAGCTCTTATTAATAAAACGCTGTTTTATTCCTTCCTGCGAGGTACCGATCCAGGTTTTGCTCAACATTTTTGGCAACTTGGGGTCCACTCAATACCGTATTCACAGGACGAAAGATGTCCCACCCAAGAAGATAAGCATAGCGTTACAAGTGGAACTATTGAATCGAATCACGGAGAAGTTCGAGTCTTTTTCTCCCGCATTTCAAGCATACCTGTCGATTCTATTACCAATGTTGACAAAATTAATGTCGTATGAAGTGTTGAGATTCCATATATCAAGTATATTAAGATTGGTTATGTTTCAAAACTTACCACAGTATATGTGCTGCCGGAACATGCACAGGAGAAAAGAAACCTTTGCCTTGCGTAACTGGGAACACAATTGGATCAAAGACTTGCACATTAAATTTCCCGAGGATCCTAATTTACGAATGTTGGTTGACGTATTGGGAACGGTTATTGTATCTGACCCGATTACCTTAGAACCAAATACAAGCATTTTCACGAGTGACTGGAGGGATTCTTGGATCCAGAACCCGTCAGATGACAAATTCAAGCGGCAAAAGACTGGCTTAACGCTGGTCTTCGATCGCCGTGGAATTATCAAAGATGAGATGGATTCAATAAAAGCGTCAAATGTTGAACAAGATACCCGGAGGAAGAATATGCTTGCGATCCAACTATGTACAAACAAGGTGACGGTAGCGGAGGCAGACGAATATTTAAAGATTGTTTCATTTCAAAGTAGGGCATTTCACAAAGATTGGATTATCACAGCGTTATGGCATTTTCGACGTTTCAAAAATGATAATCTCTCTCTAGAGCACATAAATAAACTTCTTTTGAAGTCCGACAGTGGCTCTGAATGGCGGGAGATGCTTTGCCAAAGAGTCGCCTTCATGCCGCTACTTAATGCAAGTGGTGGTGAACTCCGGTCGATGATCATGAATGACAAGAAGAAATTGCTGGAGTATTACCCGCAAAATGTTCTTTTGTATCTGTCCTTGTGCGAAAAATATATCATCGGATTACTACGGTCAATTGAAGTTAATGTAATGCACAATTTCAAGCTTTTAAACGAAATAGCGCCGATGCTATTTGAGCTTACCCAATTCTGTCCTAAGGCTCGTGCTACTGTGGCGAGAATAATACTTTCGTTATACAGAAGGGGGCGTGTTGCTGACGGATCGCACACTGCCATCTTCACGCTACCCAGATCCATAGTCTACTTTATGTTGCTACAAGGAGATTTAAACCTCTTGGATGAAGTTTGTCTTCATATAGCTGAAGAGAAGAGTTTCCGCTATGAGGACGACAAGTCACGAAGGATGCAAAATTCTTTTACTATGGAGATTGTTAACCTCATCTGGAGAGGGAGATTTCTTAGTCTCGATTCGCGACGAGATTCACCCCATAAAGCATTTTTCTTCAACCCTTCATTGGTGCCGAAGGTGCTTAACTCAAACTTAGCTAGTATTGGACTTCGGGATATCGGGGGAATTTTGATGAGCCCTGTCTTTGCTTTCATCGCAGCTACGCGCTTGCGCTATTTGGAAGATAAGTATAACCTTGAGGTCAGACTTGAGGGCCCTCCTACGGAGGAAAGCATCGTACTTATGCAGACCAATACTCATGTCCAATGGTTGCAGTTGAGTAGAGATGCGATCAAGTTGGAAGTTTTAAGATATCTAGACGAGAAGCATTTTAACGGAATTTGCGATATGATGTTCAAGTCTTTGAAATCTTTATCGAAAGCGAGAGGTGTGACAAATATCATAACACAATGAGAATTGCTTGGAGTCAAACCTCCCTTCTCTCTCTCCCCCTCCCCTCAAACTCATGACTTGAGAGATAGATAAGCTTTTTTAAATCGAGTTAAATTTAAACATCATTGGATTGGAAGTTTATAGAAATCAAAAGTTTATTATTCACCGCTTTCATACACAACGGTGTATAGACTGAATTTACAATATTGGCAATTAACTACAATTGCTCAGAATTGAAATTGTGATGTACCCATTACGGTCAAATTGCACATACGCCATATGATAACTGTAGTTTACTTTAAAAGTTTAAAATGGACGTGTATTTCCAGATCTCGCCACACCAACTCAATTGTCGTACATACATGTCAAAATCATCGTACGAATTGATATTTTCTCTGATCCTAGTCACTGACTTTAAGGATGGCTGTTCAATTTTAGTGCTTCTCTTTTCTCATCATCAAAAACATCTGTGCTGTCAAACTCGGAGTCGTAGTACGATAAGGCAGGATTTTTGAGCTCTATCATTGGATTGTCCTGTGCAGACTTTTCCATCTCTTTTATCAACTTGATCATGCTATTCTCGCCGTAGTTGACCCCGTACGATGCACTGATAGGTATCACCCCTTGTACCCATGCATCAACAATTCTTGCCCTCTGCTTAGTTCCTAATCGAGATATAGGAAACTCGCCTTTCTTAATGAAGGCAACAATGTCAATAATCAAATGGTGCTTACTGAAAACCGTATTTATTATTAGTGGCACTAATGATGCAAAGTACCGAGTACGCTTAGATTCACAAACCACGACCGTGTAATCTGCACATCGAAAGACACAAGAGCCATTTTTGTAAATATCTGCATGGCAAAACTCAATTGTGTTTTCAATGTCAATGGGGAAATGATGCAAACCCATCACTTCAAAAGTATCAGCAATTTTTCCCAAGACAAAAAGTGGCTGAAACGATGAGATTTCGCTCTCATTTTGATAGCTTTTGTTTTTTGTTATCGAAATATTATGCAAGAAGCCCAATTCTCCCGTTCGAAGGTATGTCACATCAGGGTTTCCATCTTTGATTTTTCCACTAAATTGTATAGGAGTGAAATTGTCCACAGGTCCTTGGGGGCCGTTGGTAAACGACGTGAGATTTGCTTCCGAGCACACCCAAATTTCACCGTACTCACCCTCTTTACATATTCTCCTTGTTTCAGGGTTAACGATGGCAATTTCTGTGCATACGGGAACCATTCCCGAATCTTGTACATGGAGCGCATTCGGCACATCAGACTGGCTAACAACAGAAACATAACCCTGTCTCAACGCTACTGGGTCCAAGTAAAGATCAACAGGCGCAACTGTCATGTATGACCGGGTGGAGATAATCGGATTGAAGTAATGATTATGAACCGTGGACATTGATGCTGCACTCATCTTTGTGGGTTGAAAAACTTTAGCAATTTTCCTCAACAAGTCCACCTCGACTCTACTCTCGGTACTTATCATCATATTCTTCAAATGGGACAAGTTGAAACCTTTGGGAGAAAATTTAATGGCCGCGTACTTAAGCATCTGCTCCGTAACAAAAACGTCTTTCACCTTGTACCGAGCAAGTGTCAAAAAGAATGACAACGGATTCTCAGCATAATTAACTGGCGAGCTTAAATACGTAGTGGTTCCCAAAAAAACCCCCAAAAGACATGCTTGCACAAAGCCAATTCCTGAAGCGTGTCTCACACAGCCTACAATAGCGGACTGGGAACTAAGATTGCATGTTTCCTTGAACACCTTGCACATTCCAAGAATATTCTTGTGACTCAAAGTGGCACCAACACGGTAGTGATCGGAGGTAAAATTAAGCCAAACCAAAGCAATCCCATCTTCATTTCTAAGTTTATTGGAGCCCAGATAAGCAGAAATTTTTGTTGTCAAAGCACCCACATTTGTCACCTTACTAAGTTTGGTAGTGTTTTTTATCTTGAGCGATTTGACTCGTTTATGGGTGACTTTTTTTAAAGAGTCTGCTATAGGACCATTTTTCAAAAACTTTTCAACCTCATCGTTGACTAGTATTTCGGAAATGTCAAAGTCTTTGATCACTCCAATAAATGCAGGAAAGTCTTCTCCAATCCTGTTTGAGTCAAAGGGAAGCATTGGTATCGGTACGATCCCACAAACAAAACAAGCGTAAGTTGCTATAACAAAGTCCTCAGATAGCGAGTACATCAATATTACGTACTGCCCCGCCTTGATATTGGTCTTGTCGATTAAGTACTGGCAAACAGCATGAACTCTGTGCTCAAACTTCTTCCATGTTAAAGGTTTGTTCTTTCCGCTGACATCAACATTTTGAAAAGCAATGGAGTCGCCACTTTTAGACACACGGTACTTGAGAATATCATGTATTGTCTTGAAATCTGATAATATTGTGCCCGTTTTGTCATCTATTGCTTTAGCCCGATAGTCAATGGCCGAATACTGGTTGGGGAAATTTGTCAATGCTTTACTTCTCAACTCTGACACATATGGCGACCATATTCCTCCAATGACATCCTCGCCATGAGGTATCAAACTAATCGACTTTCTGACAAAAAATTTCACAAAATCAGCTTTCAAAGTTCCTTCCAAAAATTTTTTCTTGCAAAGCATATTTGCAATTTCTCTTCCACCACTTCGCATAATTTTCGGTAAAGTGTCACAATCAACAACCATCACACAGTACAATCTTAATGAATGTCTTTTATAAAGAGTGTCAAAACATTTTTGGGCAATTGCATTCAATACTGGTTCATTGAGTGGCACACCACTGTTTTGCTCAAGATCTCCAACTTTGCTTTTTGCCCCTCCATTATTTGCATCGGCACCACTTGCATCGTCGAATTGATTTCGTATAACTTCTGCCTCCACTATTGCAACGGGCAAATACTCATTACCGACAAATATGTCAAAAATTGTACAATCGTAAATCTGTTTCACCTCACTGGCCAACGTAGCTAGCAAATGCGAAGAATAGTGGTACCTCGATCCTGAATACAGCCCAACATCCAAGCTTGTTCTCTTGAACGATGGGTGGTCCATCCAGCTCACTCTTTGTCGTATTCTGTCTTCATACAAGCCCAACACATAGACTTTGCCGTTGTGCGTAAATCCCAAAAGCCCCGTTCTTAAAAAATCCATTTCGAGCAAGCCATCTGGCCCGTGGCATTTGGCATGAAAAATCAGCTTTGATTCCTTTCGCAAACCATAAAATCCACCTGAAAGGCATGGACTGTCAATCCAAATCTCTCCTAGCTCCCCTTTTTGCACTAAGGTTGCCAGTTCGGGGTTCACAACCGCCAAAGTTGCATCGGGAAGTGGATATCCAAAGGCATCTACCCTGAGATTGTTGCTGCCAATGTCGTCAGACGTTGATGGGTTTGTCTCCACAATCTTCACCAAATTTCGACCCAAACACTCCTTATCGATCACAACCGAAGACAAATCACTGGACTCATCGTCTGACTGTACATTTCCCATCTTTTCCTTCCCCCCGAGCCAATCTCTGAGAGAAATAACCATTCCACCATACTCGCTCAAAGTGAGCATCGGAATAATCGCATTCTCCGGATGTTGACAGCCTAACGGCCTGAGATACCTTTGGGCCAAAATTTCCATAAATTCTCCGTCAATAGTTAACGCGTTCACCAAAACCCACTTGACCGAAGAAAAATCAACCCTTTGCGTTTTCGAAAAGTACCTTGTTGCGCTCGGTGCCTCCTGATAATCATAAGTGACCCTTTTCAACCCCAAATAATCAGCCAAGAGCAACGATGCTCGACATCTTGTCAAAATGTTTGCATACAACCCCTGTGTTTCCATCACTCGCTGTGGCGCCCAGAACAATACATTTCCGCTATAAATGGTAAAAATTATACCTAGAATGAGGCCGATCGAGAACCTAATATCCAAGGTTGCCAAAACGACTTTTTTGTTTCCTTTGTATTCTTTGCTACTGCGCCGGAAAGCACCTCCAGAGTTTGGCAAACTCAGAAGCGCAACATCCAAACATTGCATTTGATGTGAAATGGTTTTGTGGCTGAGAGCAATGCCACGAAGCTCCCCCACTGGAGACCTTGAAAACTCAATATATGCTAGATTCATACTTTGTACAGCATCACCTCTGCTTTGATGCTTGGCATGCCAAGAAGATAACTCTGTTTTTTTTGCGGAGCCGAAATCAGTCGTTCTCCATTTCAATAACTTTGCGGGCCACTGTATTCTCAGATTCTGAGCATTGAGTCTTTCAAGTTCTTTCGCTACCGTGTCTGAGTACAAAAGAAGCTTTGTAGATGTGAGCGTTAGGATACTCAAAACTTCACTTAATGAGATATCCTGGTGTATTGGTATCGCTGTGACTCCTGCTAGAAAACACCCAAACAATGCAGCAACAAATTCGGTAACTTCTCCATCTTTGTACAATAAAATGACTGTGTCACTGTTTTTCATGCTTGATCTATGCTGAATTTCATAAGCTATCTTGACCGCCCGCAAATATAGTTTTTCCCAGGTGATGGAATTCACTTCCTTTCCCCTCGAATCCAACACAACAAAGGCCAAATCCGATTTATAGATGGTAGCCCTGTTCTTCAAAATTTCCAAGATGTCGTCTGAACGTTTGCTATCAGTGAAAAATGTTGCCGATCTTCTTGGTTTGAGGGGCATTTCCAACAAATTGGGGTCCAAAGGAAAATACTCCTGGTTCTGTTTCTGGTGGAGCCTATTCACTGACTGCATTATCTCCTCTCTTCTGTTGATATAAGTCCATTGGTCGATCGTTTTATTTACCAAGAAATCCTCGTCCAACTTTTGCAACAATATAGCCAAATCTGGTGGTATATCGGATGATCCGCTGGTGACGCCACTTGTACCCACTCCAGGGGATAGCCCCGAAGGTTTCATCATCAAGTGCGGATCTTGTGACGTGAGCGTGCCGAGGTCGGGATGCAATGCTGCAGTTGAGGCTGACCTTTGCCTTTCGTGGGGCGATAAGTGAATAGAATCCAAATTCAGTTGTGTCATTACAACTTTTTATTCTCACTCCTTCTCTTTTCAAATGCGGGTGCAGATCATACAAATACTTTCTGTTGAGCCAGGAAATCTTGCTGGATCAGTCTATTGAGTTGCTGGTAGTGATGTTGAAATGTGTTGATTATACAAGGGTTCGAAATGTTGGCAATCTTGTCTCTTTGTATTGATACTCCTTCTCTCTTTCTCTCTTTCTCTTTCTCTCTTCGTTTCGCCAGATCTCTGCTTATAGATCTCTTACGTGATGTTTTTTTGTTTTTTTTTTTTTTTTGCTTCAAGCGAGACATCGCATCTTTTTCTTTTCAGTTTGATTCGGGGTTTCGTATTGGTTTGATAGTGATATCTGCCATAATTCCAGTCTATACTGCACGAAAAAGTCTAACGTTTTTCTATTTCTTCTTTTTTGCACTAGAATCCATCGTCCTTCCACTTGGCTGAAGAAGAGGCATTTTGGTAAATCACGTTCCCTACATCTGCTTGGTCCAATAATGCTACGACTGACGAGCCTCCTGTCCAATCATGCTGCAAAACGTACAACTGCGCAGCCTTTCAAATACCTATTAGGTACTAAATGTCATTTGTTCATTCCTAGGGTATCCCCGAAGTCACTACAAAAACTTCCGTTGGACATTAAAGAAGACGAAATTGAACATCAAATACGGACAAAGAGACTACTACAGAAGCAAAAATATCTTGACAATGATGCCTTGAGCATCAAAAAACTAGCGAGAAAGGAGCTATCTACTTTGAGAGAGCTAACGAAGGAAGTTGCGCAGCCGTCTTTCGATGTTGACAGTGGCAAACTGACCTTGGAGTCGGCCGAGCAAGTGTACGAGGCAATACATGATCCCCTGGCACTTCACTCCGACTCCATCTCCAGTGAACAACCGGGCATTTGTTCTTTCCCTTCAGAGATCAATGAAAGACTTGGGCTAGTTTCAAATTACTTGATGCTGCCTACCGATGCTGCGCAATTCAAACCCCAATGGTCTCTTCTATTACACCAGTTGAAATTAAGTGGAGGCTTCAATGGGCTCGATGCTACAACTGTGCAAGCGTTTGTGAAAACAATACCCTTTCCGGTGCTAAAAAGTCTTATCCCGCGAATTATCGAAATGTACAAAGAAGCAGGAGTCACCATTACCACTAAGGTCGAATTTTTAATCTTCAAGGCACTAGCAACTGGAGGTAAAGTTACTCCCAGCGAAGTTCAAATGATGGAAACTTACTTTGAAAAGCTATTAGAAAAGAATGATCAAAAGACAGACTATTATGAAACCATGGTTTGTGCATATGTGAAGAGCGATAACATGAAGAAGGTGGAAAAGTTGCTCAGTGCAATGAAATTAAAGAACATAGAGATCACACGCTCTATATTTACATCGATACTTCAGGGGTACGTTTATTATGTAAATGATCACGACAAAGCGTGGGAGACGTTCAATGCCATGAAATTCTTGTCCAAAAAGACTCAACCGAATGAACGCAACTATACCGATATGATTTTCTCGTTTGTCAAGAACAACAAGTTGGAAAGTGCGTTGGATATGTATCAAGAAATGTTGGATAACAGAATACCGTTGAATCAGAACATATTGGCTACGTTGGCAAGGGGCTGCTGTAAAAGCAAGCGGTTTGCAATTAAATCGTGGGACTTCATTTTCAAAATATACGATCATGGATGGTTTCCTAATTTGCAAACTTATGAAAGTATGTTAAATTTGTCTGCATTTGAAGGCACGCTTGATCTAACAAGGGCATTATTCTTAAAGATGACAGAGACTAATTCAGTCACACCAAAAGCAGTTCTATATTTGATGATGTCTTATTCCAAACATTCTTTCGAAAAGTCGTCTAAACGTGCCTCCATCGACCATGACGAACGAGGACGGTTATTCAAACAAAAAGTAATGCAGGACATCGTCTTTGCGCAACAACTGAATGGATTTCCGTTTCTTCCTTTATTAGCCTTGCCCAACAACGATGCAGCTTTGGCTGAAGCAACCGCTATCATTTCATATATCAAGAAGTCGAATCCCCGGCTCTTGACTCCCCAGTTGGTAACAACTTTTTTGAATACATGGACCAACTTGGGTACTATGGAAGGTTTTTCCAAGCACTATGAGGATCTCACGTGTTTTGAACCGTTACGCAAGTCTGATATGAAAAGCGGAACTGTTACAGAGTTTAACAAGACTGATATTGGTAATGACAAAATTGCGAGAGATACTCCCATTTATATTGCGGCATTGAAAGCTGCTGCCAAGTTCAAAAACTATGAGCTTGCGAAAGAGATTCTTGAAGAGCGAGGTCAATTTAGAAGATCCAAAGCATACCAGTCTATGTCAAAAAGGGCTCAAAGCCTGTGGGATTTTGAATTTGCTAGAGCACTAGTAGAGTGCTTCAAGAATATGAACATGCTCAAGGATGCCTTATCTGTAGTACTCCTGTCCGAAGAAAGGTTTCCTTGGAGCTGGAAAGAATTGGGCGGTTTGGCAGGCGCTGCGTTATCAATCGAAGATTTGCAAATGGTGGATGAAATTAAGCGAGTGATAAAAAGTAATAGAAATAGACGGTAAATAATTTGTAAATAGGCAGACAACTGGCAATATAGTCAAGTTTTCAAAGTACTTCTGACATTGCCAAATCAGTCTGGCAAATCAATTGTTGTAACCCAGAAACAGATAATGGTTGGTACGTTTTCAATGCACTATTTGGGGGGGTGGCAAAACTCTACCACTGATGGTTCAGTGATTTCATACAACATTTATTGGCTCACAGTAATTGTCACGTTGTTGTGGTATAGTTGTTTCCTTTGAACAAAACTGATGCAAGAATGTGCGAGACATTCTTCTTAAAAGCAATGCCTGCACGGGTGTGAACCCATACCTAAATGTAACATATATAGGCGTTAGGCTTCCCATACATATGAGTAGCACTCGTTCTAAGTAGGACAGTAGCTATTCTCTCGATACTAATCCTCATTCTTCTTCTCCCTTTTTCTACTTCTCATGGAAACCGGGAACTCTTATCTATTTATGTACAATATACTTAGCGGCATTGTAGTGGCATTCCTTTTCTTTGTGTTTGCATTTCTCTAACGATTCTATCTGATATTTGGCTCAATCAGTGTTGTAATGCATTTTCATGTATCTCAACTGCTTGTCCCTATTTCCGAGCGTCTTGACTTAATTCCGCGTATCCCATTCCAGTGTCGCGGTGTCGTTAGTAAATCCAAAAATGGCGTCATTCAGCATAAGCTGATTCTACTATACTACAAGGGTGTAGTTTGTTGCTGGTAATGAAATTTTTAAACAATTGTGACGATTGTGGGGTATCTGCCAGGTACAACTGGTTCGAAGTAGTTGAAAACGGCAGACCGTTGAAAGTAGTGACTACAGTAGCAGTGGAAGAGCTTGGCGCGGAGGTGTTGTGTCGTGACATGGAGGAAAAGTGGTTGCTGTTGTTGCTGTTGTTATTGTTATTGTTGACAATGTCAGTATCCAATGCTAATGACGACAAGTCATTAGGCCATATTAAGTGCAAACCCTGTCCGCTATGGAATGGAATTCCAAGATAGAAGTTGGAATCTGTGACTAGTATTTGTTGAAAGAGAAAGCTTTACAATAGTGTACTTTCAACTTTATCCTCCCCGTCCTAAACTTGTGCGTTGAGAAAGGGTATATGTATTGCTGCAGTTTTGACAAATTTGCAACAATTTTCCTACAAAGAAAATGTCTTACCAATTGTAACACCATTATTTAATAGACAACAAGCTTAGATAAAACAGTGGAGTATAGGGTAACTAGTTACTATCCTCAAGTATAGCACTTTCGAGTTAATCGGTCAATATTTGTCAATCTTTGCAAAAATTGAGAATAAATGATTCCACTGAAATTTGCACAAATTTTCAGATAAAGTTTATGGTGTCACCATTATGGAAATGCTTTGCAGGCTTCTCGCATCAGTGGCTTTACTTGAGGTGCATTTCGCCAGTGCTTTTTTGAGTAGTAGTATATCTGGCTATTCTTTCCTAAAATTGGTAGTATAGGTGATTACTATTCTTTCCTTGTATTCAACAGTTGCACGTGATGTCTCTTATTTTTGCGACGATATTCCTTTTTCACAACACTACCAATAATTCCCCGAACTTTGTTGATGCACGTGAATTTGATTGACTACCGAATGGCAACCAAATATTCTCAATGCTTTGAACCCGAGTGTCTACTGTTTTAAAGCGGTAACTGATCTTGTCGGTAACTGTGCTATGATTGACATTGCTTTTGCGCTCTGTGAAAGCTTTTGATTAATGAACTTTTTGGGCAAACTGATTCATTTTGGTGACTGGTGACAGAGTTGAGGAATTTGCGAGGGAAAAGAGTACATCAGTCACTTTACTGAGAAAGAACCTGTATCTTTCATAGCATTGATCCACACGCAGACTATTCGTTGACTTAAACGCCTACAAAATTGTTGATGTGGTTGCTTTCAGGAAAGGAAGGCATTATCAAGATGTTTGCCAAGAGGTGTCAAGACGAGGCAGGATTAGGAAACGAAGAACAGCAACAGCAACTTCGGCAACAGCAACGTTATCAACAAGATTATACATCTCCACGCTCAACCTCGCCACACTTTCCCGGCGACAGAGTTCGATATGAGCATTGAAGCTTGAGCAATGGAATGCATCANCAGTGCCATGTACAGAACTGAAGAAACTTTCTTCGACTGTCTTTTTCCATGCTTATTACTAGAGAGAGCACACTAGCCAGGAAAAGCTGAGTGCAAAGGACAATGTTCGTTTTCAGGGGGCTATAAGCACCACGAGACTCGGAGGTTGTCACAGGTGCGTGACATGTGCTTTTACTAAAAATGAATTGCAAACACTTCATAGTGGCGGGGGCTTTGGGTCGTGGAGAACAGATTGTGT